TGAATAAGGTTACGCTTAAGAACAGGTACCCTTTGCCGCGAATTGATGATCTTCTGGACTAGTTGAGGGGTGCTTGTGTGTTCTCTAAGATTGATCTCCAGTCCGGATACCATCAGATCCGAATTAAGCTGGAGGATGTTCCTAAAACAGCGTTCCGATCCAGATACAGACATTTTGAATACCAGGTGATTCCTTTTGGGCTTACTAATGCCCGGCGGTGTTCATAGACTATATGAATCGCATTTTTAAACCATATCTGGACCAGTTCGTTACTGTGTTCATTGATGATATTTTAATCTATTCCAAGAGTAAAGATGAGCATACGGATCATCTGAGGACTATGTTGCAGGTGTTGAAAGAAAATAAGTTTTATGCTAAGCCATTTAAATGTGAATTCTGGCTATTTGAGGTGCAATTTCTAGGTCATGTTATTTCTTCTAGTGGTGCTGTTGTGGATCCGAGTAAGATTGAAGTGGAAAGTGACTGGGAATGACCTAAGACTATGACTGAGATCAGGAGCTTTCTGGATCTTGCTGGTTATTATTGCAGGTTTATACAGGGATTTTCTGCAATGGTACTGTCGTTGACCCGATTGACACGAAAGGATACTCCTTTTGTGTGGACCCAGGAATGTGAGGAGTGCTTTTTGACTCTTAAAGAGAAATTGACTACTGCTCCTGTGTTGACTCTTCCCGATCCGGAAGGTGAGTTTGAATTATATTGTGATGCTTCCAAGAAAGGTTCGGGGAGTGTTCTGATGCAACAAAGGAGAGTGGTTACTTATGCGTCTAGGCAGTTGAAGCCTCACGAGGAAAATTATCCGACGCACGACTTAGAGCTTGCTGCTATTGTGTTTGCCTTGAAAATCTGGAGGCATTTTCTATATGGGATAAAGTTTGCTATGTTCAGTTATCACAAAAACATGAAATATTTGTTTGATCAGAAAGAGCTGAACATGAGATAGCGGAGGTGGGTTGAATTCTTAAAAGATTATGATTTTGAACTAAAATACCATCCGGGTAAAGCTAATGTGGTGGCAGATGCTTTCAGTAGGAAGTCTGTTAGTTTGTCTCATACGATGATGTGGATAATAAAGTGATTGAGCAGTTCAGGGATTTAAAAATAACGAATTTCTTTGCAGGTAGAGTTTGTGATATTGAATTGACACGGATTGAGAATGAGTTGCATGAGAAAATTAAAGAAACTCAAATGGGAATGATAGTGTTAAAATTTGAAAGGCCAGAGTGGCATATCTGTGAATAAACAGGGGTTATTGTTGCATCAGGGCAGGATTGTTGTGCCCAAGGAGTTAGCATAGGAGGTTATGGTTGAGGCCCATAAGGGTCAGTATGCTATTCATCCGGTGCTACAAAAATGTATCAAGATCTAAAAGTTAAATTCTTGTGGCCTGGGATGAAAAAGGATATTGTGGAGTATGTATCAAATGTTTAGTTTATCAGAAAGTGAAGATAGAGCATCAGAAACCTGCTGGTTTACTTCAGCCACTGGATATACCAGAGAGAAAATGGGAGAGCATCTCTATGTATTTTTTTGTTGGTTTGCCTCGGACTCAGGCTGGTTACGATTCTATTTGGGTGATTGTGGATAGACTTATGAAGTCTGCACATTTTCTGCCAGTTCGAGTGGATTTCTCTACGGAGAGATTAGCAAAACTTTATATGAATGAGATTGTAAGGCTTCACGGGATTCCGGTTAGTATTGTAAGTGATCGGGACCCGAAGTTTACTTCACGCTTTTGGGGAGCCTTGCAACAAGCTTTTGGCACTCAGCTTAGGCTGAGCACTGCGTATCAGTCGCAGACTGATGGTCAGACTGAGAGGATCATACAGACACTTGAGGATATGCTGAGAGCTTGCACACTAGAGCAGGGTACTGCTTGGGATAGGTACTTGTCATTGGTGGAATTCTCGTATAATAACAGTTTTCATTCCCATCTGGGCATGGCACCGTATAAGGCATTATGTGGACAGAGATGTCGGACTCATACTTGTTGGACTGAGGTAGGTGATAAAGAAATATTTGGTCTGGATTTTGTGCATGAGACTACAGTGTAGATTGAGATGATCAGAGACAAACTTAAACAAGCACAGAATCGGCAGAAAAGTTATTATGAAAATAAACATAGACCGCTTGAATTTGAAGAAGGATACCATGTATTTGTGCGGTTGTCTCCGGTCACGGGTGTTGGCTGTGCATTAGGAGTAAGGAAGCTGAGTTCTCGGTTTATTGGGCCGTATCAGATTATGAAAAGAGTGGGATTAGTGGCCTATCAGTTTGCCTTACGTCCACAATTGTCGAATCTACACGACATTTTCCATGCATCACAGTTGCGGTGTTATGTTCCGAATGAATCACATGTGGTGATACCGGATGATATTGAAATTCGAGAGAACCTGAAGACCCTTGTAGATCTTATTGAGGTACTTGACCGCAATGAAAAGAGGCTGAGAAGAAACATAATTCCAATGTTAAAGATTCAGTGGGAAGGACGCATACCTGAGGAGGCTACTTGGGAGCGGGAGGATGAGATTCTCGGGCAGTATCTTGAGTTAACATACAAGTATGATTTAATTTTGCGGACAAAATTTCAAAAAGAAGGGTGAATATAACACCTCGTATTTCTAAAATATATAATTATAATTAAAATATGGATTAAATGGTAGGATTTGTGAAAATCCTGAATTCATAACCAAAATACGTAAAAAGGGTAAAACGGTAAATTTCCAAACACGCAACCCTAGGAAATGAAATATGAGTAGAAGGCCTCAAATGAGAAAACTAACCCTGGAAATGGATTCAAAACGAAAAATTAAGTGGTTAGTCTAGTTTCTGGAAAAAATGATTAATAATGTTTTTACGGGGTAAAATATATAGCGGTACAATTGCACCGAAAAACGTTCCGAATGAATTTTGAGCTCTAGGTTTGAAAATAAGTTATAAATGGTACATAGGACTAGAAATTATGATTTTTGATGAAAATTGATGGAAATTAGGGCTTTTGGGGAAGCGTGCTCACGGTGCACATAACAGCTTAAAACTGTGATTTCATCGAACGACAAAAAAATTATGGATTCATCTGATCAAGGGAAATTAAAGGATATTGGTGAATGTTAAAATTTGAAGTTTCTAAATATTTTAGGAATTAATGGACATTTAGTGGATTAAGTGGGAGATTTGATTTAATTTGGATCGCGTGAGATGGCAGTGGGACCCACCCCAGTTAAGTGGACAAAGCCACATGTGCATAGTCACTATTCACTCTCTCCTTCCCTCCTCCATTCCTCTCTAACTCACGGCCTTGCATATTCTTTGTGCAAGTTTTTCTCCTTTGATTTTCTCCATCAAAATTCAACCAAAATCAAAGTTCCACCACACCAAACTTCAAGTAAAATGCATTCTAAACCCAACCATGCTATTTCTAACCCTTGAAACTCACTAGATTGGGAGAAAACCTTAACCCATTGCCACGAATTTGTGTGAAAAAGTTGGTGTTCTTGGAGTTGTTTGATCCTCCATTGCTTGGGTATTGTGTGGAGGAGTCCTAAGCCTTGATTGTGGGTAAGTTTCAACACATTTCATTGGTTGATTTGTTGGATTTGATTTATGAACCCTAGAGTATGCTTGTATGAATTGATGTGGTTGAGGACTTCAAATTGAAAATGTGTATTAGATAAAAGTGTCTTAATATGATGTTTTATGTTGATTGAGCTCATAAAAATTATTGATGAAAAGTTTGATAACTTAGGCAAAAAATTTATGAGTATGCAAGACTTTGTGAAATGGAATTATTGTGGGATTGTATAATTGAGTTGTGGAGTAATTGTATCAGTTAATTATAGGATTGTATGATATGTGGAAGTGTTGAATTGAATTAAAAATCCCTTGGTATACATGCATGTGAATTTCGGCCAAGTGAGGAGAAAAAAGGATGGATGATTCAAAAATCATGTAATTGGTGTTGTGTGGTTGTGAGCTAAGTTTAAATAGGTTGTGTGTTGGTGTGATGCACTTGGATTGGAAGAAAAATCGTTGGATTGTGTGTGTATGCAATTTCGGCCATAATGAGGAATTTTAGAGAAAATGGTGCTAAGATGTGATTGAATGAAATTAAGGGCTTGAATTAGTGTGGTGTTGAGCTTGTGAAGCCATAGGAACCATGAAAGAAAATTAACAACATGGTTAGGTATTTGGGACCAAATGGCCGAACCTATATGTGTGGGGGTGTGTGTGTTTGCTTTGTAATTCAACATATTTTACAAGTGAGTTGATGATCCTTGTGTGATCATTGTAGGTTGCCTCCCACGGACGTGAGCTTTGAGCAGTAAGCTTTGTGGATTACCTTTGGTCATTGACCAAAAGAATTGTGGTAAGTGTTTATGGCAAATTGCATGAATACTTGAATAATCAAGTGTATGTGGTTCTAATTGATATGTGAATGACCTATGTGTAGGCATTTCTGGTTGGACCAAACTCAGTTGTACCTTGCATTGGAGTTACCTAAAGAGGGAGCTTCAACAAGGTAATCCTTTGGTACTGGGGTTAATTCCCGTTTGTGCTCCACCATGCCCCTCGGGGGTAGTGGTTGGAGGTGTATGTTAATGATGTGTTATAACATGATCTTGCATAAGTATATATATTGGGTATATAGGATGTATCGTGTCTCTGGCTAGTAGACAGTTTTCTTCGGGCGTTACGGACTTAGCTATGTAATTTCATAATTTTCTATACGTATCAAATTATATCCATAATAAACATATATAATCAATTCTTAAAAGTTTGGGTTGTTATATTCACCCCACCATTTTAAGATTTTTCCCTCAAAATCAAAATCATACCAAGAATTGATAAATCATTGTACCCATACTTTTGAACTACTCATTAACTCACTCATTACATGAGCATCCTCATAAAATTCCTAAGAGCCATAACTCTTAAGATCCATCTTTCAATGAACAAATCTAAGTTCTCATCTCTATATCTTAACATATCGTTGATGATTCTCTAATGTTTGTAATGCAAGAATGCAAAACTTCATAATCCATCAATATACTAACATCATATTTAACAACATAAATTGTACCTTTCCTAGGGTTAAAAGCTATTCCGGACTTCTGAGGATCAATGGTGAACACACGGCCCACAGTTGGAGCACTCTGGATAGCCTGCAGTGGAGTACCTTGTCCCATGTTATGGGGGCAATCTTTCATAAAATGACTTGATTGACCACACTTAAAACATAAATTTTGTTCCTTCCAGCAGATACCCTTGTGGAATTTACCACACTTAACACATTTCGGATAAGACTTATAGTCACTACCCTGTTGATTCCCAAAATTCTTAAACCTATCATCAGATTGTTTCACTTGCAGATTCTTACCCTTGTTGTTCTTCCATGGAGACATCTTACTTGTAGTACCTTTAGGATCAGATTCCTTAACATTAGATGATTTCTTATATGAACCATAAACTCCTTCCACAGACTTACACTGTTTAATCAAAGTGGAAAGATCTCTAGATGCATAGCCTGAAACTGTCTTTGCTATTTTTTCGCATAATCCACACTGAAACTTGGCAGCTAAATAAGTAGGAGTAGGAAACGCCCTTCTGTAATTGGCATATTTTGCCAGATCATTGAATTTTGCAAGATACTGGTCGATAGTCATAGATCCTTGTTTTTGTTCTAAGAACTCTTTTTCTTTACTTTCCCTAGCCTCTCTAGGAAAATACATGCCTAGAAACATACCTTCAAATAAAGCCCAAGTATTTTTCTCTCATTGTAACTCTAATGGTTGGATGACATTAGTCCATCAATCATTGGCCTCATCTTGTAACATGTAAGTAGCATATAGTAACTGTAGCTGATCTCTGCATCTCATGACTTTAAAGATCTTTTCTAAGGCTTGCAGCCACTTGGCAGCATCAATTGGATCATAAGTCCCCTTGAAAGTTGGAGGGTTATGTTTTCGGAAAGCATTCAACTGTCTTTGTATAGTTTCATCGTCCATTTCCTAATATACATGCGGCTGAACATTACCAACACGATGACTAGCACCACTGGCATTCTCTGCATGGTGACAAATCTCAGCATTCAGATGGACAACACCATCACTAGCTTCTCGCTCAGCATATAGAACATGAGCCAGAGTAGGTGGTCGAGGCTGTGATTGTTGATGTGGTGTATGAGGTGGCGGTGGCTGATTAGCATTCCTTTCCATCCTCATCTCCTCGATCATCATCCTCATCATGTGCATATTAGCTAGCCTATTAGCCTTCAAACTATCCTCATTTGCTTTTCTAATAGCCTCACGGTTGGCTTCCAACATTGCTTGGTTGGCCTGCCTATTTGCATACAATACTTATTGCATACCAGCCAACACTGCTGTTGTTGGGTCTAGCTGCAGATCAGATGTTTCCTGAATCCTCTTAGGAGAAGCCATGACTTTGCACATTTTACACAAAGGAATGAGTTAGCTACGCTCACACTCGGTGATCACATATGCATATCATAGTCACTACTTAAAAGTCACTCAAGAACATCACACTTTTGACAATACCTAAAGAATTTCCCTAGACTTTACTCTGATACCATAAATGTAACACTCCGTCTGTAGCCAGTTTGTTAACATACATATGGTTACAAAACTTGTCATAATTAATCATTTTAGCAGAATACTTAACGTAAAAGTTTTACTTGCAGCAACATAAGAAAACTTTAGCCCATAAATTATTAATGCTCTATACAAGATTTTGATTAAGTGTGGTAATCCATGTCAATGACTCGGTATTAAAACATTCGACGCAAATATGATCCTAATAAAAATTCATATCAAAATAAAACATGATCAAGTTATTTTATGCATTAAAATTTGGGAAAAGTGAGTAGCATGTTACATGACAATTTTGTATCATGCCATAGACACAAAAGTTGAGACTCACACCTTTATACCAAATGATGGTAGCTCAGTTGGTAGCAAGGGAGCTGAGTAAGTGGAAAGAAAAGGGTCTCAGTTCGATCCCCACATGTCACTTTAAGGGAAATGTGAGTGTAATATTCCACGACACATCTTGTGTCATGCTATAGACACAAAAGTGTGTGGATCCGACAGAAACAAATAAAATAAAGGTTTTTTTTTAGAGTTAACACAATCCTAATTACCTCGATCCCCACATATCACTTTTGGGAGGGGTTTAAATATCTTCATCTCCAACTCATCTCACATTCCGGATTAGTCTATAGCATGACACATGGCTCAAATAGTCAAAACTTATTGGGATACCGAAGACAGCCAACTCGCCTCAAAGAGGTAATTAAGGTTGTGCTAACTACAAAAAAAAACCTTTATTTTATTTGTTTCAGTCGGATCCATATTTTTGTGTCTATAGCATGGCACAAGATGTTTCGTGGAATATGACACTCACATTTCCCTTAAATTTTAGAGATGTCGCTTTTTATTCGAGTTAAAACGAACAATTTAATATGTGTAACTCAGTTGACAACATAAACTAAATAGATAGAGAGGAGAACATGAGTTCGATTCCCATTAAATATATCTTTGGAAAAGAACGAGAAACTATAAGCCTTTAAATGTAATTAAGCCTCGATTCGAGATTAATTTTGTAATCTACTCAAAAAGTTAAAACTTGTAAAAACATTCCTGGAGTTAACTGGCCTCAAAAGAACTTATAAGTTGACATGACACCAAATAAATAACAAATGTTTTTTCTTATGCCATGACATAAATAATGTGAAAGAAAATTAAGGCCTGACATTGGCGGATGACACAATTTTTTATATTAATTTTTTATGACACTAACACGAAATAAATTTAAAAAATATATTTATATCTAAACATCAATTTTTGATTTCATATTCAAATTAAATAGCCAATCATATAAAAAAATTGGCACACCTGTTTTTGATACGCATGGAAGGCAAATAAAGACTTGCTGTCTATTTTAATCCGACCAATTATTATATTTTATTTTCAATTTTATCTTGTTAATTAATTTTTTAAATAAAACGTATACATTATAATAGAAACAAAATGGGAATAATACTTTAAACTCAATTAAATTGCAAATTATGAGAAGAGGATATTACATTAAGAGCCTATTTAACTTATCTTTAGGCTAGGTCCAAAGTTCATAATTCACCTCAGATCAATCTCAAAATTAATAATAAAAAATTATAAAAAGAAAAGAAAAAAGTGCAAAAATAATATTGATGATAAAAAAAGAGAGTTTCACCAAAAAAAAAAAGAGAGAGAGAGAGAGGGACGAGTAATCAGTTTTTTTGTTTTTTAAGAGAAAGAGAGAAGCAAGAGCACGAGATTTAAAGGAATGTCATACTGCATGCCTCCATCCAAGTCAAAAATGAATACAATAAAATAAAATTCTAAAATTTTGAAAATATGGGGATGTGACAAGAGAAAATAAAAGCCCTTTGTGAGGTGATTAGACTTTTGTGGTCTTTATGTGCCGAGTGTGACTAAGGAAGGATTGTGGGAGAATTGAGAAACTGAGAAAGAAACAGATATAGCAATATATAATAAGGAAGGAGGAAGAAGAAGGAGCAAAAATTAAGGGTCATTTTTGACTGATTTAGTTCTTGCTTGCCAAGGAAGAACAGGGAGAGAATTTGGCACTGTAGTTAAAAGGAGGGAAGAACTTCTTTGTCAAGTTTGATGCAGTAGAGGTAGATTCTTCCACTTATTCATTTTAGCTATCTATCTATTTATTTTTTTCTTTGTACTTGTATTTTTTATTTTATTTATATTATTTTTTACCAATTCAATTCAAAATTTTAAGGTATTGGGTGATGGCCTTTTTAACGATTATATTATTCGCTAACACACTTCCTTGCGCAAGAGCTTTTTAGGCTTGAAGCGTGAATTATTACATAAGCCCAAATTTTTTATTTACCTTATGCTTATTTAATTCCAAGAGTGGGGGGGCAGCGATGATCGAACCCGTGAACTTGTGGTCGCTGAAGTTCTGATATACAAAACCAATTCAATCCAAAACTTTAAGGTGTTGAATAAGGACCTTTTTAATGGTTATATTATTCTGTAACAAATCCATTTATTTGGATTTATTAATTGTGGATCTCAATCAATTTGGGATAAGGATGATTTTAAAGACCTTCAATTAGTTTGGAAATATAATGATTTTGATTATGAAGTTATTTTATTCTATATTTGGTGCACTGTTGATGCAAATTTCTGAAAGTTTTTCTTGCTTTTTACGTTTTTGTTCTCATTTGTTTATGGGTTTAACACTTTTGTTTTTGCTGTATAGTTTTCTTTTTTTGCTACATTTAAATAGAAGTGAGTGATTTTATTTTCTGATATAGATCAAGTTGTTTAAGAGTTGTCGGAATAATGAGGTTTCGGCCTTTTGGGCCTGGGAGTGAAAGCTTAGTCAATTTTTGGTTTTGTTTGTAGTGGGTTAAGGTTTCTCGCATCTGATTTTGGGATTGGGTCTTCTATTTGAGGTTTATTTATTTATTTTAATAATTTTTGCTTTTAATGCACAAAATTAAAAAAAAAAAATAGAACAAGATAAACTTGGATTTTTGTTAAAAGGAATATGGATTAACCTTTTTTTTAACCGGCATAAAATTATCTTCTGCAATCCTAAACAAAATCATTTGAGGATTTTGACAAAAATAAATAAATAAATAAATAAGAATATTTTAATAAAATTCAAGATAAAAAAATAAATTTTTTAAATTAAGCTGCATTTTTTTCTAAATCCCAAAATATCGTCATTTTAAGGTTGTTTATATTATTTTCATTTTCAACCATTTTTTATTATCTAGTTTTATTTGTTTAGAAATAGTATTTCTTGTTTAATCTTATTTATTATGTTTAATGACATGATTAATAATACAATAATATATTCATTACTGTGATTCTTGGTTTGGTTAGTATCATCTAACACCCCACGATCCCATAAAAATGTTGTACTTTGAGGCCCACCGAACCTCAACGAGCACAAGTCTACGCTGGAGGATTCGTGCTTGTTTTCGAGGAGGATATAGATTCCATAGGAAAATTAAAGGGTTTAAAAACACGGGTAATAATCAAACATTGGTAGTTCATTTGGCGAGTTGAGCAGAAAAGCAATAGTATGTGTTTGATCTTTTCTGATATTATTTTTAAAAAATGGTCACGGTCGATATCGTCACTATTATTAATATGGTCACTATCGTCACTTTCATCAATATCAGTTTTAGAAGAGATTTAAAATCTTAATCTTAAATCCACTCCAAATTAAATTAGTAGCGTTCGCGACTAATCGATATAATATTTTCAAAAAAGAAAGAAAAAAACACAGGTAATAAAAGCAGAAGAGAACAATCTTCTATGACCGAGCAATTGAGAAAGGAAGTCGCATAGAACGAGAAATAAAGCATTAATAAAGGATGGGATATTCTAATTAGTTCAACAGATTCTGGGACACTTTATCGATTTCAGAACAGGATATGCAGATCCAAACCCTGGCGGTTTAGTTGGTGTGACGGAGGTGAGTAGGTGGAGAAAAAATCTTAATACTTGACCCGCATTGGATTTGAGACTAATCTCGTAACCAACCACTAGACACAATTTCGGATTCCACTGTATCACAGTACATGCATGTTATCGCCACCCATGTTCTCTTCACGAAAAAATTTAACATTGTTCCAAGCTCACCATTTATTTAGTGGTTCTTTTTTTATAAATGAAAAAAAATTTCCATTTCTATCCTTTTATTTTTTATTTTTTCTTCCTTCGTCTCTCTTTTTTTTCTATTTTTGGGAGAGACCACATGGTCCCGTCCCACAAAAAATCTTCTCTCTCTTCACGTGCACATGATTTTACCGTGGAAATTTTCTAAGACGTTAGCACAATTTGAATACCATATAAATTTAAGGGAAAAACAAGTATCTTCTTAAAGGATATAAATTTATATCATTTTAGATCTTAACCGTTAATTTTCGTCCATAAACGATTATAATCTATTGGGTCAAACTTAATGGGCTAAATTTATTATTAATTAATTAATAATTTTGATCCAATAAATTATAACCGTTGATGGACGAAAATCAACGATTAGGATCTAAAATGATATAAGCTTATATCCTTTAAAATGACAGATGTTATTTCCTAAATTTAAATATGATATGAATTTTTCACGCTCGTTTAAATTCATAATCATTTTTTTATTATATTTGTGTCCGTCCATTTATATATTTATTTTCATTTTAATTTAATAATTTTTGAGAAAAAAAATAAAATCAACGAATTATTCATGTAATAAGATGTCATCGTATTAATATATAAATTTTTTACAAAAATTAAATATTTAAATCATATTTGTATTCAAAACATTTATGTAGCTATTGACTCAAATACTACCCCAGCAATCGAAACTATAACCCGTAGTTAATCGAGTAGAGGAATGTTTTTTAAAATTTCACATGAGATTCTAATTTTCATATACAACAGACGAGTGATGCCTATTAAAATTTGCAAATAAACATTTATGAGTAGAGAAATAAAAGACGGAAAAAATACGTGTCATTTTGAAAGATATAAAATTGTATCATATTTCAAGTGAGAGAAATAGATAGATAAAAAGAAAGAGATAGTGAAAAAAAAAAAAAAAAAAGTACGGGTCAACTTATTTATTAGAGTAAAATGACATAATAAGTTGTGTGATTTAAGAAGAGAAACATCTACTCAATGGGTGCAGCTCGGTTGGTAACTTGGCGCTGAGTTAGTGGGGTTGGATATGTGTTCGATTCCCGCTGGATGCATTCTTGGGGAGGGGATGAACTTTTAGCCATCATTGTTCCCCCGCACTCCGGATTAGTCTCATAGCCGGCTCAAAGAGTCGAAGCTCGTGAGGATAGCGGAAGGAGCCAACTCGTCTCAAAGAGATAATCAGGCTTCGTAACTCAAAAAAAAAAAAAAAAAAAAGAAACACCTCACTACCACCACAGTAATTATGAAGGATCTATTCTTTTCCCACTCCCACGTGAAGGAACACAACAAATTCACGTAACTTTCTTGGTTCTTCAGGAAAGTGATTTAACATTTGCCTTTTGCACTCGCTGACTAGTCATAGCATGGTACTATAAATGCCACACATCTTGGGGTGTTTTCGCTTAGGTTCAAAACTCGAAAGCCAACAAAAACCAAATCAAACGGTGGATTAAGATGGAGGAGGGATCAGAGTCGAGAAAGCAAGCGAGGTTGGCAATTTTGGAACTTGCGAATATGATAAGCGTTCCAATGTCCCTAAACGCCGTCGTACGGCTCAACGTCGCCGACGCCATCTGGCAAGGCGGCTCCAACGCCCCAATCTCCGCCGCCCAGATCTTCAAACGCGTCCTTCCCGCCGGTGACGGCGACGCCGAGAACCTTCAACGCGTCCTCCGCATGCTCGCCAGTTACGGCGTCTTCGAGGAGCACCTCGACGGCGGCGAAAGGAAGTACTCACTCACCGACGTTGGCAAAACGCTCGTCACCGATGACCAAGGCCTATCCTACGCTCCTTACGTGCTCCAACACCACCAGGTCAGCTCATAAATTCAATAATAATAGTAACAGTAAATTAAAATCACATTTATTATTATTATTATTATTTTTTTATGATCTTACTTTCATGTAAGTTTTTGGTACTATTAGTACTAATATGATTGTAATTAATATGGGATAAAAATGACATTAATGTTACTTTAGAGTGAAATATCAAAATAAACTAGTAGTACTAAACTAGTAGTGAGAGACTTATCTAATTTGATGTGGTCATAAGTTTAATTTTGGTTTCATAAGTCATTAGTTCAAATTTTAATGTAACGAATATAAAAAGTATTAGAAATAGAATTAAATTGATAAAATATTATTATAATTTGTCAAAAGAGTGTCCTATTATCTTATTAAGGGGAGGTTAATAAAAGTGAGAGTAATATGTGGTTAAAAAGAAAAATTAATAGTGGGACTAAAATATGTTTTATTAAATATCAAAGATAAGAGAGCTTTGAATTTTTAGATTGTTTGAATGTTGGAGATGATAATTTAGATATAACAAGTGTGTAGAATGATACCAAGTTTGTGACTGTAAAAAAAAAAAAGTAGTAATGACACTCAAAATAAACTTCTAAAACCAGATGTAAGTTGTAACTAGAGTGAATGCTTATCCAAGACTTATCATAGATCTTAGAATAAAAATAGGACACGCAAGTGAGGAATAGTACAATACTATATTATTAGCCAATATTATTTAGGAAAACATTTTTTCCTTTTTAAAAGGGAAAATATTTCCTACTTATGACGTAAAAGAAATTTGGGATAAGTTATTCTATCTATTATTTTATATTTTTACCTATCAATTTCCAACATTATTAGATTAGAATTTTAAGAAGAGAGAAAAAGATAAATGTTAATTAAAATTTTAATTTAACGGTGTTGGAGAGTGTTAGGCAAGAGTAAACAGAAAAGATAGTAGGTAGAATAATCTATCACATAAAATTTACAAAAAAATTGATAAAAAAAATTTAAGGTGGGATCACTTATACCATAAATTATTGGGAAAAATGTGTGTCATTTTAAGAGAGAGAAAGAGATAGATAAAGGAGGAGAGATAATTGACAAAAAAATAAAAGTGTGGATCTCACCTCTCTGTGAGAGTGAAAAAATATAAGTTGTGTCATTTAAAAGTATAAACATTTTTTCCTAATTTATTAGTAGAAGAAAAAAAATTTCTTTTATAAGGAGAAAATAACTGCCCCTATTACTTATTAGGGAAAGAGGTGTGTGCAGGATGCGTTGATGAGAGCATGGCCGTTGGTACACGAGGCAGTGGTGGACCCAACGAGGGAGCCCTTCGAAAGGGCCAATGGAGAGGCAGCGTACGCGTACTACCTTAAGCAACCTGAGATGAACGAGTTAATGGTGAAGGCCATGTCAGGTGTATCAGTACCCTTCATGAGGGCCATGTTGGAGGGCTATGATGGCTTTCAAGGTGTTGAGAAGCTGGTTGACGTTGGTGGCAGCGGCGGTGACTGCCTCCGTATGATCTTGCAGAAACACCCCACCGTCAAAGAAGGGATCAACTTTGACCTACCAGAAGTAGTGGCCAAAGCACCACAAATTCCAGGTAAGTAAGGAAGTAAGCTATACATTGCTTTATTTGCAATTATTTTTTTTTTTTTTAAGATACGAGAATAATTTGGTTTCGTGTTTGAATTCCTTTAGGGTTCCATTTTTTGATATTGCTGGAAACAAATTATTTCATGAAAAAAAAAAATTATGTAATATGAATAGTATATAATTATAATGAATTTTTTTTTTCTTTCTGTGTCACGTCAGCCTGATAATATATGAGGAAATAAAAAAATAAAATAATTTTAATACTATAATTATATACTGTTCGTAGTACATATATTGTTGGAGATTATATGTAACTGTAACGTATCTTGTTTGAATTCTTTGTAACGTATATAGTTTGAATTCTTTGTAACCGTAGGACTGTTTAGATAGAGTATTTATTTGTTTTAGTCTGTTACGTTGTTAGCTGTTAGCAAATCGCTGATCTTGTGCTAATCATTTATTGTATGTTCGCCTATTTGAAGGCTACCGATGAATGAGATAAACACAGTTGAAATATCAAGTTTACCTTGGTATCAGAGCAATCCTAGTATACACGTTTCCGCATTCCCTTTCAGTGCGAAAGCTGGTTCATTTAACATGGCACCAGGTGGTGGCAGCAAGTCCAAAACAACTGATCCTAGTTCGCCATTTTACTTGGCTGGATCCGACAGTCCAGGTCTCTTGTTAACGACTATCATGCTGCGTGGTGAGGCCAACTATGACAACTGGGCCAAGCTAATGAAAAACGCATTGAAGGCGAAAAACAAATTGGATTTTGTGACCGGTTCAGTCAAGAAACCAGGAGAGGATGATGCCGAAGAGTGGCGCGCCTGGGAGATGTGCAATTCGATGCTCAATGGTTGGATTCACAACACCATTGATGCAAAACTTCAACCATTCATCAAGTGCTTTGATGACGTCAAGGACTTATGGAATGACCTAGAGGAAAGGTATGTAGTGCAAAACTTTCCAAGGCAGTATCAACTGAAATCCAGTTTAGCCAATATCAAGCAACATGGAGATAGCGTTGGTGATTATTACACCAAACTCAGGGCTGTATGGGACAATCTGGAAGGAAGCAAAACTCGCAAGTCTTGCGATTGTGGTGATAAGTGTGCCATTGCCAAAGCAATCGAGGAGGAGCAAGAGCATGATCGCGTTTATCAATTTTTGATGGGGCTGGATGAATCTACATTTGGCAATCTGAGATCCCATATCCTCAACACTTCTCCTTTTCCTAGTGTCAACAAAGTGTACGCAATTGTCACTCAAGAGGAGACCCATCGTAGTATTTCTCGCGTTCAAGATGAGAGGAGTCAGGTAGTGGGATACTCAGCCCAAACCGATTCCATGAAGCAGTCAGACACGTCCATGCAGCAGCGGATGGTTCCTAACAAACCACAAGACAGAATACCTTGCCCTCATTGTGGCAGGACCAATCACGACCCTTCCAAATGCTGGAACGTTCATGGTTTTCCACCAAACAGGAGTGGTCGCAGACGAGGAAGGGGAGGACGTTCGGCAGGACGTTATACGCATGCTCATGCGACGTTTGCAATGGATGCCTCACACCCAGTTGCTGCTAACTCTCTTCCTCCAGACGTCTCCCATTCTGCCTCTTCTCAAGTTGCTGCACACTCCGTTTTGACCCCAGAAATTGTGAACAACTGTTAACATTGGTAGACCAGCCTCAGTCACATGAAAAATTATTTGGTAAGCGTATTCATTCTCAATGGCTCATTGATAGTGGGGCCTCACGTCATATGACAGGCACTTTGGCTTTATTAGCTGACATTACACCTATTCCCCCTCTATCTGTGACTCTACCAAATGGTTCTATTACTTATGCTGCAAAACAAGGCTCGATGGTGTTTAATACAAACTTCAGCTTGTCAAATGTTTTATATGTGCCTAACTTACGCTACAATCTCATCTCTGTTTCCCAATTGCTTCACTCCAAGAGCAGTAGCGTTACATTTACTGATAAAAAGTGCATTTTGCAGGACCAAGTGCTGAAGAGGGAGATTGGTTTGGGTGAACTTCATGAAGGAGTCTATGTGTTTCAGCCTTCATGTGCTTCAGCTTCGGCAGTTCAACCAGGAGAGTCAATTGACTTGTGGCACAACAGGCTAGGCCATGCATCCTATGATATCTTATCTCTGGTTCCAGAATTTAAAGCTTTGCAAAATAAAGTAGTATGTAAGGCATGTGAAGTTTGTCATTGTGCCAAGCAAACTAGATCAATGGTTCCTATAAGTTTTTCTCGCAGCAAAGAATGTTTTGATTTAATCCATTGTGACACTTGGGGTCCTTATCAAAATTCTTCTTCTTCTGGTGCACGTTATTTCTTAACTGTGGTGGATGACTATAGTAGGCATGTATGGGTTTTTATGTTGCCGATAAAAGTGAAACTTATGATCGGATGTGCAAATTTCTTGCTATGGTTCTGAACCAATTTGGTAAAATCGTAAAAATAATAAGGTCTGATAATGGTACTGAGTTCAAATCTAATAACATGGTGAAACTCTTGAATGAAAAAGGTATTTTGCAACAAACAACTTGTGTTTATACGCCTGAACAGAATGGGAGAGTCGAAAGGAGGCATAGACATATCCTTAATGTATCACGTGCCTTACTGTTTCATGCAAATCTCCCTGTTGATTTTTGGGAGGAGAGTATTCTTGCTGCTGTTCATATAATTAATAAAACACCTACAAGAGTTCTCCAAGGCAGGTCACCACATGAAGAATTGCATGGAGTTCAACCAGATTATACATACTTGCGCACGTTCGGTTGCCTGTCATTTGCTAATACAAGACCGAAACCAACTGACAAGTTTGCTCCACGTTTGCGACGATGTGTTTTCATCGGATATGCAATAGGGCAGAAAGGTTGGAGATTGTTTGATATAGAAGCGCAACAAAGCTTTGTGTCCAGGGATGTAAAATTTTTTGAAAATATTTTACCTTTTCGCGAAGCTCCAGTACAATCTGTTTCTGCACCAAATTCTCGTGTGCCTACAGAACCAAATTACTTTGACGAAGGCCAAATTGTCCATGACGGTTCTGATGCATCAAATGACAGCCCAACGCCTAGTGGATCATGTGTTCCTCTGGACGATAAGGGGAGTGTTTCGCTGGAAGCAACACCAACTAACGAAGTTGCCGCTAGGGAGTCCTCCTTACTAGAAAGAAGTTCGAGTTCTAGTGATGCATCAACCCTACAGCAGTTGCTGGAAGCAAATCTGCGTCAAACAGTCACACGCCAGCACCGTACCAGGAAGCAGCCATCTTATTTGCAGGACTATGCATGTCAAGTAGCTGAAACACACACTCCTTCATCTCTCCCTACTCAAACCAATGTGACCTCAGGTACTCGGTATCCTATGTGCAATTATCTTAGCCTCACTAACTTTTCTAAGCAACATCAAGATTTTGTTGCAGCTATTGACACAGGTCATGAACCACGTACATTTCAAGATGCTATAAGAGACTCCCGATGGGTGGAGGCAATGAGGGCTGAAATCACAGCCTTAGAAGACAACCATACATGGTGCCTCACGGATTTACCTCCAGGGAAGCGTGCTCTTCCAAGCAAGTGGGTGTTTAAAATAAAATATCGTTCTGATGGAACGGTGGAACGGTATAAGGCAAGATTGGTGATTGCAGGTAATTATCAGATTGCCGGAGAAGATTACAGTGAGACTTATGCACCAGTGGCAAAGATGGTGAGTGTACGTACATTGCTTGCAGTGGCTGCAACAAGAAACTGGGAGTTGCACCAGCTTGATGTTCATAACGCATTCTTGAATGGAGAAATAAGTGAGGAAGTTTACATGAGATTTCCCCCTGGATTCAGTACTGGGTCTAAGCATAAAGTATGTCATCTTACAAAGTCATTGTATGGTTTGCGCCAATCACCCCGAAACTGGTTTTCCAAACTCAGCAGTTCGTTGACGGCATATGGATTTGTTCAGTCAAAAGCTGATTACACGCTCTTTACTATGCAAAAAGGGGAGGTGTCTCTTGCACTTTTAGTTTATGTCGACGACATCATCTTAGCAGGTAATAATTCACATGCTTGTCTTGCAATCAAGGAGTATCTAAATCAGTGTTTTAAAATAAAAAACCTGGGTAGTCTGAAATATTTTTTGGGTATTGAAATTGCCCGCAGCAAGAAAGGAATATTTTTATGTCAGCGTAAGTATGCCCTGGATATTCTTTCTGATTCCGGGCTCAGTGGATGTAAACCGGCGATTTCCCCCATAGAACAAAATCATCGTCTTGCCTTGGATGACAGACCAGTATATGAGAACCCTGAACGGTATAGAAGACTCATTGATAAGTTGATTTACCTCACTATCACAAGACCCGACCTGAGCTATGTTGTTCATATCCTTTCTCAATTCATGCATTCACCACGCCTAGCTCATTATGAGGCTGTTCTCCGGGTTCTTCGATATGTAAAGAGAGATCCTGGTCAAGGACTTCTCCTCAAATCGGATTGTGACCTAAAAATTCATGCCTATTGTGATTCGGATTGGGCTTCATGTCCTCTTACCAGACGATCTATCACTGGTTTCTTTATTATGTTGGGTTCTTCACCCGTATCCTGGAAGACCAAGAAACAAGTAACGGTGTCTCGCTCTTCTGCAGAAGTAGAGTATAGATCAATGGCTGCAGCTACAGCAGAGATTGTGTGGCTCAAGTCGTTTCTCACCTCTCTTGGGGTCACTCACTCAAGTCCTATGGAATTGTTTTGTGATAACCAAGCTGCTTTACACATTGTAGCGAATCCGGTGTTTCACGAGCGTACCAAGCATATTGAGTTAGATTGCCACTTTGTACGTGAACATATTCTAGCCAAGCATAGTACAACAGCTCATGTGCCTTCTCGTTCCCAACTTGCTGATTTGTTTACTAAAGCCTTGGGACAACGCAAGCTTCTTAGTTTTCTTCCCAAGTTAGGCATTTCATCCTTACATACTCCTGTAACCGTAGGTTTGAATTCTTTGTAACGTATATTGTTTGAATTCTTTGTAACCGTAGGACTGTTTAGATAGAGTATTTATTTGTTTTAGTCTGTTACGTTGTTAGCTGTTAGCAAATCGCTGATCTTGTGCTAACCATTTATTGTATGTTCGCCTATTTGAAGGCTACTAATGAATGAGATAAACACACAGTTGAAATATCAAGTTTATCTTTTTT